ACTGAAGCTAAGAAAACCTGCCACACCATATCATATCCTCAGAAGAGAAAACTGCTGAGAGAGCCACAGATGTTATCAAAAATATCAAGGCTTAGCCTCTGATCTTAAATACAAATGAATGAGAAAACATCATTATCAACTTTGCTTAGATAATTTATGCCAGATTATTTCAAATGAATATTTGTTGCATTTCAACTCTACAGTTTATAGACAAACTGGTTATCAGATTAAATAAACAAATTGAGGGAATAGCAGAGGTTAATTCTTGATGAGGTGTGACCCAGCTAGCCACAAAATCCTGGGAGAACCCTAACATTGGGACCTAGACGGAAACCAAGCCGCAGGGCCCTTTGGACACATTTAGGTAAACTTTCCTTACCGGGATGTGAATGTATTTTATTTATCATCTGTCTGTTCTCCATGTCTTGAAATAATTCCTTGAGAAAAGGCTACAGGCCTTTCAGATGATTAAAAACTTTTGTATTTTGTATTTTTAGCCTCTAACCTGCCAGGGGTTGCATGAATTGAGTGAAGTACACCCATGAAAGGAACTATTATAAAGTGATTCTGTGATGCATGGCTGATACTAAAGCATGGCATTGTTATAACCTCCCATAATCTTCCACATAAGTTTAGAAGAATTATATTCTTACATTAAAATTATCATAATTTTAATAAACCCTGAAACTCCCTTGGACAAATGTACTCCTGCTAGCACTGTGGCATTATGGTCCTTTGCCCCAAGGATGCTTCTGTTATTGTCCTATGACTTGGTAGCTGGAAAAAATACATTTAGAGGTTTTACCTCCAATACTAGCCTGTGATCCTGAGGAGATGGCCTAACCCGAGGAGAGGGAGGCTCCAGGTCATATGGACTCACATGAGGTGTCCGCTTTTGCCCATCCTGCAGCCACTCCCAGAAGTCTTCAGGAGACAGGGGTGCAGATGGTCCTTCGAGACGATCAAATGAGATCTGGAACTGAAGAAAAAGATAATGATCTGGGATAAATTTTAAAAAATTAAAATAAAAAATTTTAAATTCACAAATTATGGTTGTTTATATTTACCAGGTAATAAGCAATGTTATGATTTGTGAATACAATATGGAATAACTAAGATAATTAAGAAATGATTAAGATAATTATCATTTATCACTTCAAATTCTTATCATTTATTGTGACAACCACATTTGAAATGACCATTATTGAACAGTAGTTAAATGAACAAATATAAATTAATTGATGTAAATAATTAAAAATAACCAAAATCAATTATCAAATACTCTAATAATTTACATTTAACTCATCAGTAAGTTTTATTTTTAGGACAAATTTTTAGAATTAATTTATTGCAATGTTTATTATGAATTCCTACACATATATGCATATGTCTGTGTATTTACACATTTTTCTTTCTTTCTTCTTTTTAATTTTTTTGAGACCAAATTTTGCTCTGTTGCCCAGGCTGGAGTGCAGTGGTGCCATTTTAGCTCACTGCAATCTCTGCCTTCTGTGTTCAAGTGATTCCCCTGCTTCAGCCTACCGAGTAGCTGGGATTAAAGGCACGCGCCAATACGCCCAGATAAGTTTTGCATTTTTAGTAGAGACGGAGTTTCACTACGTTGCCCAGGCTGGTCTCGAACTCCTGGCCTCAAGTGAAACGTCCCCCTAGGGTTTCCAAGGTGCTGGGATTACACGCGTGAGCCACCGCGCCTGGACTATACATCTTTCTATGGTTATAAATTTATGTCCCTATAGCTTTGTAGCTGCTGATGTCAACAAATGTTAATAAAACTCTGGAAGAATCGGTGCAAATAGGAATGTTTATTTCATTAAAGTGTATACTTACATATATATATAATTTTTAAATTACTAAAATTTAAATACTAACAATAATAAACTCATAATAAACACAAGTAATAAAATGTTACAGCCTAGAATGCTCCAGAGTCCGGCAAACACAAACCTGACTTTTCCAGCTAATGAGAAAGGAAACCTCCCCCTGCACCTGCTCCTGGGACCTGTCCCGTCCTCAGTGGGTCCCGAGCGCCCCCTGGAGGCCCCGCGCGCCCCTGCAGGGGGGTTTGTGTCTGGGCTCACACTGACCTCCCTTCACTGTGTCTCTAGTACAGTAATACACGGCCGTGTCCTCGGTGTTCAGGCTGCTCATTTGCAGACTGGCGATGCTTTTGGAATCATCTCTTGAGATGGTGCATCTGCCTTTCACAGATGCGGACTATTCTGTTGTGCCACCGTTAGCTTTGTTTCTAATTAAATCTACCCACTCCGGCCCCTTCCCTGGAGCCTGGCGGACCCACTGCATGTAGTAGTCACTGAAGGTGAATCCAGAGGCTGCACAGGAGACTCTCAGGGACCCGCCAGGCTGGAACAAGCCTCCCCCAGACTCCACCAGCTGCACCTCACACTGGACACCTGCAAACACAGAGACACCCGCATCAGAAACTGCCACCCATAACCACTGTTTCTCTCACTCACGTCCACTCACACTCAGTGTCTCTAGTTCACCATGAATTACCTTTTAAAATAGCAACAAGGAAAACCCAGCTCAGCCCAGACTCCATGGTTGGTCTTCTGTGTTCAGTGCTGGTCACCAAGTGGAAACTCCTGGGAATCCCAGGCAGGGGCTCCTCTCCCAGAGCTGCAGGGTCAGGGCTGGGCTGGTTTTCATCAGCAGAGGGAGGACGATATTTGCATATCTCCTACTATATGGCAAGCACTGGGGTGGGACGCCTGAGGAGAAGACGGTCCCCAGATGAGATGACTGTGCCTTGCAGGAGTTTAGTGACTATGATGATGTTTGGAAAATATGCTGCCTCATTATAAAATTATGCTGTGATAAACACTGTGAAATGATCACCCTATTTTATATGTACATATTTGTGCAAATTATGTTTTGTCAGAGCCAATGGTTTCTCCATGTACCAATGCTAAGTATGTGTCTAAGAGCTCATGTCTGGGATGAGTAAGCCCCGATACCTGAGCCTGTGCTCCTCATCACTGGCCCCAATTACTCCCTGAAACAACTCCAGGACAGAGGTGGATGTGCCTAGTGTGATAACAAATGAGATACTTTGTTTAGAATTGATTACTTTTTTATAATTTATGTTCCCCCTTTAGGCAGCACCACAGAAGAATGTTCTCAGAATCCTTCCTGATCCTCTATGAGTTCCTGGTGCAGCTCCTGGAGGAAAAGCTTGCGTGGGGAGGGAACCCTCCTCATGTGCAGCCCAGAGGCTGTCCCGTCACCTCACCCACCACTGTCCTTCAGTCACTTCCTGAACAATTATGAGTTAACCTTCCTGAAACATGTGGCATTTGGCAGTGTCTTTCCCAGGTAAGAAAATACTTCCGTTCTGTTTATCCCTGCAGGCCCCTGTCCCTTCCTGGAGCACGGCTTGCAGTTGAGTGTGTGGCGGTGGATACTTGGTGGGAGGAGGTTTGTGAGCATCTTGTCGCCTTCCCGAGTGCGCCCCTCATGGGGTTGACACTGACAAGCGCGCGATGGGCTTGCTCAGCTGGAGGATGACAGGTACTTTTGTAACCTGTGACCCCTGTGAGGCTCTCCCGCTGCAAGACCAATCAGACTCAGGCCTCTGGCTAAAGTGCAGCCAGCAAAGGATACAGTGCCCAACCCTGAGAGCTCCTTCCAGGTGCCCAACCACTTTGTAAAGGAAGCTGTTTTCCTGCCTGGATCCCATGCATGTGTTTGCATTTTCTGCACAAGGGGCTTTATCCAGAAAAGAGCTTATCATGTTTAGAATCCAGCTGAAGGGAATTATTCACGAAGTCCCTCCTGACCCAAGTCTCCACTTCTCATTAAAGGTCATTATTTATGGGATTCACCAGAAGCTGCTGGCTTTCCGAGGCACAGACCTGCCTCTATACCAGTGTCCCCAACCTTTTTGACGTCAGGGAACTGTTTCGTGGAAGACAATTTTTCCATGGATGAGGGCGGCGGGTGGTTACGGGATGAACCTGTTCCACCTGCAATCATCAGGCATTAGATTCCCATAGGGAGCGCTCAGCCTAGATTCCTTGCATGGACAGTTCACAATAGAATCTGCTTGTAGGATAATCTAACGTGCAGCTGATCTGACGGGAGGCGGAGCTCAGGCAGTGATGCTCGCTCGCCTGCACTCAACTGCTGCTGTGTGACCTGGTTCCTAACACAACACACACCTTAACGGATCCACAGCGTGGGGATTGGGGACCCCAGCTGTAAACACTTGGAAACCTTACCCTAGGGGAGGGGGCCTATAAAACCAGGAGAAACAGGAGCTCCAAGTCAATGTACATTTTATGGATGCTTGAGGAAAGAGTGCAAAGAGCAATGGCCCCGCCCGCTTTCCCTCTACCTGGCGTAATTCCCCGTGACCCACTTGAAGAACCTGGGGTACATCAAGGTAGCTTAGGCTTGTTACACCAGGGACCACCAGAAAAGGAAACAATGAATGTGTCCACGTGGGTTCATCCGTTGCAAGTTATTTATTACTTCAGTGCAGGGTGTTGATCATGGAGAAGGCTGTGCATGTCTTGGGCAGGAGTATGTGGGAACTCTGTTTATTCTACTCAACTTTGCTGTGAGCTTAAAAAGGGCTTTCACATAAATGCAGTGTAAAGGGAGTGGCAAAGACATTTAGGAAGAAATGTCGGCCACTTCTTAGAACTTATATTTAGTCTTACCTTGTGATCAAGTAATCCTGCTCCAAGTGATGTATCCATTCAGTTTTAAAATGTGTGTCCCCAAAAGCCTCCATGGGAATGTTTGCATCAGCCTGATTGATGGCCGCCTTTCCCACTCCATGAATGTTACTTACAGTGTGAAAGTTGAAAATAATATTTCCTATATAATTAGAGTGTATACGTCTTTCTATTGCTTCTTTTCGTCAGTTACTTAACCCATTTTCTAAACATGTTTAAACCTCATAAATCCTGTCATCTCCTCAGCCCCAGCACAGCTGCCTCCTCCCTCAGGGTTTCTGACACTCTCAGGATGTAGTTTTCACACTGTGTCTCTCTCACAGTAATACACGGCCGTGTCCTCAGATCTCAGGCTGCTCAGCTCCATGTAGGCTGTGCTCGTCGATGTGTCTCTGGTCGTGGTGACTCTGCCCTGGAACTTCTGTGCATAGTTTGTGCCACCAGTTTTTGGGTTGATTTCTCCCATCCACTCAAGCCCTTGTCCAGGGGCCTGTCGCACCCAGTGCATGTAGTAGTCAGTGAAGATGTATCCGGAAGCCTTGCAGGAGACCTTCACTGAGGATCCAGGCTTCTTCACCTCAGCCCCAGACTGCACCAGCTGCACCTGGGAGTGGGCACCTGTGGAGAGTACACAGGAGTGTATGAGATCTCATTTGACCGGACCCAGTCCCCTCATCAGCCCTGGAACTGAGGATTCTCTTACCTGTAGCTGCTGCCACCAAGAGGAGGATCCTCCAGGTCCAGTCCATGGTGAGGTGCTGTGCTCTGGGGCTTCTGTAGGGGAGGGATGTGGTTGTTGTGTGATGCTCTCTGGACAAGGAGAGATCTGTATTTACCTCGGTAGACACCAGTGCATTTGCATATTCATGAGGCAGGTATTTCATAGCTCAGGCCACCCCACCCTGGGGAAGAAGATAGGTGACACGTGGACCACGCCACAGCGGGATGCTGAGCTCCATGCCATGATCATTGGTTAATGATATTTGTTCTCAGACATGCTCAGATGTCCATGAAGACAGAACTCGTCTTACAGAAACCCAGAATCTCACAGGACATGGTCCTCAATGTGATTCCTTGTTCCTGTGGCTCACTGTCAAGGTGAACTTTTCCTGAGCCTTGCCCTCTGCCCATCTAACTTCTGGGATGAGTGTGTCTCTCGATAGTAACACCCACTGAGTTAATAAAACAACCCCTCAATTCCTGACTATAAATACATTTGAAGGGTCTAGACATTTCTTCTTTTAAAGGTGGTTTACATTAATTTTTGAAGTAGGTATAGACTACATACACAAGAGAATGCTTGTATATGTACACATCAGTACTTGCTAAATATTTATTTATTTAACACATCAGTACTTGCTAAATATTTATTTAACTTTTATATCATCATTGCTTTGAAATAAGGAATATCCAGTCCCTAAGAGGAAACCCCTCCCCAGCCTCCTGTATTCCTGCTCAAGGGCTGGATCCTGTGCAGGGTGCATCCCAAAACCCACTGAAGCTCAGCTTCCGCCGTGCATGGAAGTTCCTGTCTGGTCTTACAGAGAATTCTTCCCCCAGCATCTCAAGCCTAGTAAGAAGTGGCTGTGCCCTGGCTCATAATGCTCCTTCAGCGACAGCGATTACTTCTCACAACACCTCTTAGAATAGAAAATAGGCCTTAGAAAACCCAACATAATCTACAGGGAGACCTCAGCACAGCAAGCGAGGAATGACTAAAGCCACCAGGGAGCCCCTTCCCTGGAGCTCCAGATGCACTGATACGGTCCAGACACATGAGAAGTCACGGAACTGATGACAAATTTGGGGCAGCCTCTTTTGTATGATTCTCTGATTGAAGATCATCAGATTATTACTTTACACACAGATCCTATGTCTCAAAGTCCCCCACCACACACACACACACAGACACAGACACACACACACACAGATCCTATGTCTCAACGTCCCCCACCACACACACACACACACAGACACAGACACACATACACACAGTGGCATATTTGCACAGTAATGAGCCTCAAATTTGCCCTCCTTCCTAGTGTCTTGCCAAAGAGAAGTGCTTCCAACTCTGACCCTAGTCCTGTTATGTTTGTTGTTGTTGTTTTTGTTTTCTTGTTTTGTTTTTTTTTCAAACAGAGCTAAAACAAGCTCAGTACTACCAGAGATTGGGAATGTGTCTTCTCCTTGTTTTTGCCCATTCTCACCTGGGAACCCTGCAGATGCCCCACGAGATGCAGATCTAGGGCCACTGAGGGAGAGGGTCGTGACCTTGGTCCTGAAGCTGTTGGTCTCAGAGGCTTTAAATCGCTTCACTCTCCTTGACTTGTTCTCTCCCACTGCCTTTGGTTTCCCTGAGTTCTAGTCCTTGGACAGAGTCTGCGCATTGCCACACTTTTCTCTCTAATCCAGATTAATCATGTTGTTGAGGAGGTGATTATTGGGTAGGGGAGCAGTATATATTCTTGAAATTGAATTCCAATGGTTTCTTGCTGTTCTTTCTCCAAGTTTCACCATTTACAAGCAGTCTCCAGTGGTACAGCAGATTTTCCTCCATCCTGTACTCCCACTCCTGGATGCAGCATCCACAGATAATTTTCTTGAGTCTTATCCCAGTTGTTTTATTAATTGTACCCCATTTCCATGACACAGGAAGGCTCAGATGAAGCCGTCTGGGATGGAAATTAATCCCTTCCCCTCACATAGAATAAAGATCTTGAAAAGTATTTTTTCTCTGTAGAGTCTGTCTGGAGGAAGATCTGAGCATATTTGTCAGTGAATAGTTCTCCTGATGACAGAGCCATGAGACAACTTATTGGGATTGTCCTCTTGAGGACCCAGACATTTCTGGAGGGAATTCCATAACAGTGTGGGGTGTGTGGTCCCCAGGAGATCTTACCCTAACCCTGTCCACATCTGTCCTCCAGATATTTATGAAATTACCATGGAACTATTCCCACCAGTTTGTGCTGCTAACCAAAGAATCACCCAATTTATAAATTTAGAAAGGAGACTTTATTTCTGATAAAGGATTGAAGCTGCAGGGCAGCCATCTTAACAGGTTGAAAAGCAAAGCCTCCCACAGAGACTGTGAGCAGGCACTTCAAGATAGGGAGAGATGAGAAATAAATTCAAACAAATGGATTGGCCAAGTGGACACACTCAGCAGGCTCTAGAAGGAGCTATGGATATTCACAAGGTGTGCAGGCTCCATATGTAATAAGCAAACACACACGTTACATGCATTTCAGGTTTGCGTTGGGGTGAAGACTTAAGAACTAAATGAATTGCAGTTGGGCCCTGCACATCAAAAGGGCTTTGTGCAGGGACAGAAAGACACACAGTGCACAGCCTCCAGAAATTGGCCAGGACAAGTCCATGGTCAGTGGTTTCTTCTCAGAGAAAGTTACAGAAATCAGTCTCTTGTCCAATCATGCTCTATTTATGGCTGTGGAACAGGGGCACAGCTACCCGATGCCTGGAGTTCCATGAGCTGCAAATGTATTAACATTGCTTATCTCAGGACCAGCGCTCGTTTAACTGTTACAGAAACAGAAAAACCCTGTGGAAGTTACAACATTTTTTCTGTTTTTTTTAACTGTAGGGATGAGTGACTTAATCCTTGCCCGGTGTGACCTTAGGTCTTGTTTACAATTTGGTATCTTATTGCCACAGAAAGTTTGTTCCATCAGACTGGTGATCACTATTGTAATGTCTTTCTAGCTTTGGGGTCCAGGTTTTCCCTGCAATTTCATTTCTTCAACTCATATAAGAAATCATTGACAATCAATTTTCCAGGCTTATATTCTTGTAAGAATGTGGGTGATGATTGACATGCTCTTTACATATTAAAGCAGAAACCAGAAGTAGCTTCAGACATCACCAGTGACCCGACAGAAGCAGCAGGAATCTCATCTCATTAAGTGTAAGTGGCACCACACATGTAGCTGAACGTGCAGGGACACAGAATACCCACAGCACAGGACACATATGATAAGTTTTTATGATTCTGGGGCTCTGCTCAGGAATCTGGAATTCACATGGCACTACAGGGATGGACTCCGTTGTCTCTCGGGTGATACTGTGTTTTGGAAGCTTATTTCCACTCCTGCAGTGGATCCAGTAGCTGTACCCGGGTCGGCATCCCAGAAACAGAAACTCTCATTAATTAAACACAGGACCCACCAATAAGAAAGCTGTCCCCAGGGAAGGTGCAGAGCAGGGACCTCTGCGTTTGGGAACCTGCGGCTGTACAGGGAGGTCAGGAGTGTGACCCATTTCCTTCTCCTCCCCCTGCTGGCTGCACCGGGAGCTTTACATTGCAAAGTATATAAAATACGTGATAGTTATAGGGAAATGCAATACAAAGAGGAAGGAATGAGGAAACCGACATGAAATTAAAATAAAACTAATACATTAAATAAATGTAAAACACTATAAGAGATTATTATGGAAAAGACAACAAACAAATATTAAAAACCTATGTGTGTATGTGTGTGAGGTAATATTCTTGTAAACTAAATCATAATTTATTTATAACGTTCTTCAAATTGATACAGAATATTCGCATTTGAGTCCCAAAAAGATGGAGAAGGATCTGGCACCAGGACTCCAGGGCCATGCTAGTGATTTCCCCTCCTATATCCTGAGGACACGTTGATTCCAACTCTGAGGATCAGGCTGCTGAAATTGACTGTGTGAGAAGAGAAAGTGGGATTTTCTGTGGGAAAAGACTGGTGTGAACACAATTTTCAAGTAAATAAATTCATTATACCATAAGACACACTGCCATCATGTTAACAGTGTGTGGATTTTGACATTAACATTATTATTATCAATATTGTTGGGATGTTCCCTGGAAAATGATCAATTGTTACAGAATCAACTTGAGTCGTTTTCATTTCAGTTTTTTCACACTTCCAGCTAATTTCACCAAGTTTACTGTGTTAGAGTTTGGAAAGTTCAGGGCATGGGTCACCAAAATGTAGTGGAAGGTCTCCCGATGGTTTGATATGGTTCAGCTAAAGGAGGACCCAGGATTTATCCAGAAGCTCCCTTCCTTGTCTAGTCCACATCTACTCCTCAGTGAGCCCCTTCCTACCTGAGTCCTGAGCATCTCTGTGGTCCTGGGCAATGCACATCTGGGGCATCTGTTTCCTAGTGTGCATCCAGAGCAGAAGTGCTGCTGTCCCTAAGGCTTGAAGGGACTGGGCCTCTATCGACCCAGGAGGCCCCACCCTGAGCACTGGGATTCCTCCCACAAGGAGACAGAGTCAGCTGAGTGCCCCCCACTTCACAGAACTACTAGGAGGCAATTTCAGTCAAATTCTAACACACTTTGACTATGCAATCCAGCAATCATGTTTTTAAGTGTTTATCTAACTGACTTTAAAAGTATGTCCACAAAGAAAAGCATACATGAATAATTACAATAGCTTCATTTATATTTTCCCAAAACTATAAACCTTCAAAAAGTTAGTCTGTAGGTGAATAAACAATCTGGTACATTCACATAATGGAATAATTTTGCCGTTATAAAGAACAGCTATCAAATCCTGAAAGCACATGAATGAAACTTAAATGCATATTTTTAAGTAAAATAAACCAGTCTGATAAAGCTACACAATATATAATTTAATTTACCAATAATCTGGAGAAGGCCAAACATTAAACAAAGTAAAAAAATTTGTATTTGCTAGGAATTTGGGTAGAAGGTGAGAATGTGTAAAAAATAGAAGACTTTAAAGGA